AACCTATTGTTCATTCTCCAAGTGATGTATGCTTTTTCCTTCCTTCTTTTATCGTTGATTTTCAGTTTCATTCCATTATGATCAGATAAGATGCATGGTATTATCTCTACTCCTTTATATTGTCTAAGAGTTGCCCTGTGACATAATATATGATCTATTTTTGAGAAGGATCCATGTGCTGCTGAGAAAAAAGTGTAACTGCTTGATGTTGGGTGGTATATTCTATATAAGTCGATTAAGTCTAGGTTATTAATTGTGTTATTGAGTTCTATAGTTTCCTTATTCAACTTTTGTTTGGAAGATCTGTCCAGTGGCGAGAGAGGTGTGTTGAAGTCTCCCAAGATTATTGTATGGTGGTCTATTAGACTCTTGAACTTGAGAAGAGTTTGTTTGATGAACTTAGCTGCACCAATGTTTGGGGCATATATATTTATGATTGTTATGTCTTGTTGGTGTATGGTTCCTTTAAGCAGTATGTAGTGTCCCTCTTTATCCCTTTTGATTAACTTTGGCTTGAAATCTATTTTATTTGATATGAGTATGGACACTCCTGCTTGTTTCTGAAGTCCATATGAGTGATATGATTTTTCCCAACCTTTCACCTTCAGCCTATGTATGTCTTTTCCTATCAAATGCGTCTCCTGTAGGCAGCATATTGTTGGGTCTTGTTTTGTGATCCATTCTACTAGCCTGTGTCTCTTAATTGGTGAATTTAAGCCATTAACATTTAGGGTTATTATTGAGATATGGGTTGTTCTTCCAGCCATATTTGTTTATTTCTGTTACTAAACATGGTTTGTTTTCCTCTTTGATTATTTTCCCCCCTTTACTGTCCTACCTCCCACTGTTGGTTTTCATTGTTATTTTCCATTTCCTCTTCCTGTAATGTTTTGCCAAGGATGTTTTGAAGAGATGGTTTTCTAGCTGCAAATTCTTTTAACTTTTGTTTATCGTGGAAGGTTTTAATTTCATCTTCCATCCTGAAGCTTAATTTCGCTGGAAACACAATTCTTGGTTGGAACCCATTTTCTTTCAGTGTTTGAAATATGTTATTCCAGGATCTTCTAGCTTTCAGAGTCTGTGTTGAAAGATCAGCTGTTATCCTGATTGGTTTACCCCTAAATGTGATCTGCTTCCTTTCTCTTGTAGCTTTTAAAATTCTCTCCTTATTCTGTATGTTGGGCATCTTCATTATAATGTGTCTAGGTGTGGGTCTCTTATGATTTTGCACATTCGGCGTCCTGTAGGCTTCTAGGATTTGGGATTCTGTCTCATTCTTCAAGTCTGGGAAGTTTTCTCGTATTATTTCATTGAATAGATTGCTCATTCCTTTGGTTTGAAACTCTGTCCCTTCCTGTATCCCAATGACTCTTAAATTTGGTCTCTTGATGTTATCCCATATTTCTTGGATGTTCTGCTCATGGTTTCTTAACAGTCTTGCTGAGCTGTCTATGTTCTTTTCAAGTTGAAATACTTTATCTTCATTGTCTGATGTTCTATCTTCTAAGTGTTCTACTCTGCTGGTAGTATTCTCAATTGAGTTTTTAAGTTGGTTTATTGCTTCCTGCATTTCTAGGATTTCTGTTTGTTTGTTTTTTATAACCTCTATCTCCCTGTATAGTTGATCTTTTGCTTCTTGGATTTGTTTATGTAATTCATTGTTGAAGTGATCTTTCATTGTCTGATTTTGCTGTCTGATGTCTTCCTTGAGACTCCAGATCATCTGAAGCATGTATATCCTGAATTCTTTATCTGACATTCCATCTGCTGCAGCTATTACCTCTTCTAACGTTGAGTTGACCTGCATTGCTTGTGGTCCTTTCTTTCCTTTCTCTTCATACTGTTCGCGTTCCTTTCTACTTGGTGAAACTGTTGTGCTATTGAATTTTCCCCCTATATATTTATATTGGTCTTGTATAGTTGAAAAGTCTCCCTTGCAGGGTCGGGCGGTGGTCTGCCTACCTTGCAGGCGCGTGAGGCGGCTCTGCTCTGCCCCTCCTCCAATTGGTGTGAGGTGTCTAACACACCCGCGGACACCTGGGCCTGTTCTGCTGGTTGGTCGCAGGTCTGCCTACCTTGCAGGCGCGGGCGGCGGCTCTGCTCTGCCCTTACTCCAATTGGGGTGTCGTGACTACCACGCTGGCAGGCCACCGGGCCTGATCCGCCGGTCGGTTGCAGGTCTGCCTACCCTGCAGGCGTGGACGGCGGCTCTGCTCTGCCCCCCCTCCAATTGGTGTGACTTGTCTACCACACCCGCAGGCCGCTGGGCCTGTTCCACCGGTCGGTCGCAGGTCTGCCTACCTTGAGGGCACGGGCGGCGGCTCTGCTCTGCCCCTACTCCAAATGGGGTGATGTGTCTGTCACACCGGCAGGCCACTGGGCCTGTCCCGCTGGTCGGTCGCAGGTCTGCCCACCTTTCGGGCACGGGTGGCGGCTCTGCTCTGCCCCTACTCCAATTGGGGTGTCGTGACTGCCACGCTGGCAGGTCGCTGGGCCTGTTCCTGGCACGGGCGGTGACTCTGCTCTGCCCCTACTCCAATTGGGGTGACGTGTGTACCACGCCGGCAGGCCGCTGGGCCTGATCCGCCGGTCTGTCGCAGGTCTGCCTACCTTGCAGGCATGGGCGGCGGTTCTGCCCTGCCACTCCTACCACGCCTGCGGACCGCTGGGCCTGATCTGCAGGTTGGTCGCAGGTCTGCCCACCCTGTGGGCACGGGTGGCGGTTCCGCTCCACCCCCACTCCAATTGGGGTCACATGACCACCACACCGGTGGGGCCTGATCCAGGCACGGGTGAAGGCTCTGCTCTGCCCCTATTCCAGTTGGGGTGACGTGTGTACCATGCTGGCAGGCCGCTGGGCCTGACCCGCCAGTCTGTCGCAGGTCTGCTTACCTTGCAGACGCAGGTGGCGGCTCTGCCCTGCCCCTCCTACCACGCCCGTGTACCACTGGGTCGCAGGTCTGCCCACCTTGCGGGCACGGGTGGCGGCTCCGTTCCGTGCCCTCTCCAATTGGGGTCACTCGACCACCATGCCGGCGAGCCGCTGGGCCTGCTCCCGGCACGGGCGGTGGCCCGGCTCCTCCCCTCTGGCTCGACGACAAAGCGAGAGAGACTCGGGTGTCTGTGCCTCACCCTCCCTACCAGGAGACCAACTGTTTCTGTCGCCGCTGGTATTGATGAAGTTCTCTCCTCTGCCACTTTCTGATGACATCAGATCTCTGCCATGTTGGTATCCTATGAGAATGGCAGCATTTCGTTCTCCTTGCCAGGTAACCAAAGCAACGGGTGAGTCCTGACCGGCCCTCACAGGCCCCGTCTCAGTCCTGTTGCCGCTGCCCACGAAGGCTCGGTTGGTATTTACCTCCACAGTACTCAGCAGGACCCGGACCGAGAAGCAGTTTTCACGGGCTCCTTAGCCCTGGGCCAGAGCAGTTCCGGGAGCCGGAACTCGGCCGCTCCGTGCTCGGTGTATGCTCTGATAAGAGCAGGCTCCAAGAAGCAGTTTCTGCGGGTTATTTAGCACTGAGCCTGAGTAATCTGTCTGCAAGCTGCAGGCGAATGGCAGCCTGAAATTACCTGTTCTATGGCTGAATGAGCTGCGATCAGTTGAAAACAGGGATGGTGACGTCAGCTCTCCAAGATGGTGGCCGCTGGCCTCCTCTGTGGTCTGACCGTTGTGGAGAACCAATTTGGACCGCTTCCTTCCCCCGTCTCGAACCCTGAATTCAGCATTGAGTATGGTGCTTGCACGGCTGGCAGAAACTGCAGCGCTGTATCCCTGCGTCGCTATCTCCTCGTTTCCCAGCGCGCGCTGCAGACTCTAGCCGCAGGGCGATTTGCTGAATAAGCAGTGTTACCCTCCGTGCAACAAATCTCTCGCGTTTGAGTCCCCGTAGCCGATCCCCGTGTGATGGAAATCCTTCCTCCAGGTTCCGGAGCACCCCACTATTGCTGGAAATTCCTAACAAGATAGCCTTTAGCCGTCCTGATTCGTCATACTCCCACACAGTGACGCGGCACACTGGGGCAATGCACTCCCCTCGCCACCATCTTCCTGTCTCCCCTAATATGGTCTTTACAATAAAAGATACTAAGTTCATTTTGTACTCTTATGACAAAAAATAAATCTTGAATCCTTCTTCCCACCAAATATAAAAACCAAATAGATCAATTGTAAATTTAAACACCAATGCTAAAACAATAAAGCTTCCCAAGTTAGCATAGGAAGATATCTTTATTGCCTTGGGATAGAGAAAGATTTCTCATCAGATCACAAAAGCCCTAACCATATAGAAAAGATTGATGCATTTGACCACATTAAAATCAAGATCAATTGTGAAGCTGGGTGTGGTGGGTGTGGTCCCAGCTACTCAGGAGGCTGAGGTGAGAGGGTCACTTGAACTGAGGAGTTTGAGAACAGCCTGGGAAATATGGTAAGACCCCCATCTCAAAAGAAAATAAAAATGAAAAAGAACAATTGTGAACAGGTGCTGTGGCACACGTCTGTAATCCCAGCAGCTTGGGAGGCTGAGATAGGAGAATCACATGTTCAAAGCCAGCCTCAGCAAAAAAACGAGGTGCTAGGCAACTCAGTGAGACTCAATCTCTAAATAAAATACAAAATAGGGCTGGGGATATGGCTCAGTGGTTAAGTGCCCCTGAGTTCAATTCCTGGTACCAAAAAAAAAAATTTGGGGGGGAAATCCATCAAAGCATTCTACCCCACCAAAGGAGGCAGTGACCACTCACTTCAGAGAGATATCTGTCATATGAAGAGGAAACAGCTCAGCATGATTTCCTGGGTGATGCCAGCTCCTGGTCACCCTTCGGTAGACCCAACTTCCTCATAAGCACCCCAATCAAAAGAGCCACTGAACAACTCTTATGAATCACTCTGATATCCATAGACGACCCAGGGTGGACCGCTCACATGATACCAATCTATTTAAAATTTCTGGTGAAGGCACGTGAAATTTCTTTGTTTCCATGGTCTAGGGCTGCCTATAAAAGAGAAGGGGACAGCTCAGATCCTGGAGAGCAGTCCCAGTAGAGAGTCCCCATCCCAGCTCTGGGAGCCTCCTCTGCAAGTCTAGCGTCATGAAGGTCCTTGTGGTTGCCCTGTTTGTCCTCCTCTGCACCTCGACCCTCTGTGCAGAAGGTGAGTCTGTTGTCCATCTTCTTTTAACGGGTGCTCCCTGACCAGAAGTCAGACCACACTATCCAAGTGCTGTGGCTCAAGGACTCCCTGTGAAACTAGAGAACATGGAAGGGCTTCAAAATAACACAGTTGTTTTCTTCAAGAGGGTCCAAAAGTGATCTATTGATCTGGGCTGGAGGATAGAAGTTGGAAGAGGTTTTACCCCATTTTTAGAAGAGATCATTGAAGTGTAACTTATTGGCTTTTTAGCATAACCTAGAATCAAGGTCTATTTAGTTCCTGTTGGTCCTGGTAAGTCTTAGAATTACCTCAGTGGTCCCCAAGAGTTTAACCCCTTAGATAACTTACAGGACCTGCCTACTTTTCTCAGCTACTTTATGATTTCATAGATTAGGAAAATAAATTTCATCCAGGCCATGGTGGGTGCACACCTATAATCCATCTTGGTACCTGAGGCAGGAGGATCGAGAATTCAAAGCCAGCCTCAGTAACTTAGGGAGGCCCTAAGAACTCAGCAAGATCTTAAAAAGGGCTGGGGGTGTGGCTCAGGGATTATTAAACCCCTCTGAATTCAATCCCTGGTAATTTTCCCAAAGAGAGTTAGGAGAAGGGAATAGACTATTTAGAGAATCTCAGGAGAAGGGAATAGACTGGAGAATCCAGTTTCCTGTAGAGAAAGATAAAGAACAAAATGAAGAGACCAAAACCAAAGACTAAAGAAATCAATAAGAAACAAAGAAACACAAAGCCAAATTATTTCTAGTTTCCTTTTCCCCTAAGCCTCAACTCTGCGCAATGCACTCACTCAACTTCTTCCTGACCCTCTGCAGCTTGTCTGTTCTCAGTAACTCCTTATCCCCTCAGATAGGAGCCAGGAACCGTCCTCCTGCTGCTTTGCCTACATCTCCCGAAAGATCCCCCGCAAACTCGTGGTTTTCTATTATGAGACCAGCAGCGCATGCTCCTCGCCGAGTATCGTGTAAGTACCAGTCCTCCTGCCCAGCCCCACCCGGGGTGACACAGGACAGTGAGGGTGGGGGCTGCCTGCAGGAGTGGACCTAGGAACAGAAGGAGCCCACTGGGGGCTAGTGTGCATGCAGGACACAGAGGGGGGCTGCTGGGCTGTTTGTTGACATGGGCTGGGACCTGCAGGGAGGCAAGGAAGACCTTCCCAGAAATGGAGGGGAAAAAAAAGAGAGAAGGAGACAGCAGAAAGAAATTCCATGCATCACTCAGGGAAGACTAGGGGGCCCCTGATATTTGGGGGATTATTTCTTGATATAAAGTATACCAGCCTCAATCTGCAAGTGGGAATGAAGAGGAAGGAGCCCCAAGTGATCAGGAATGTCCTCACTCAGTCTCTGATACTTCTCCTCTCTCCATAGCTTTGTCACCAAAAAAGGCCATCACGTCTGTGCCCATCCCAATGAAGCCTGGGTCCAGGAATACATCAGGGACTTGGAGTGATCCAGCAAGAAACATTGAGAGGTGTGGGGAGATGGGGATCCAGGGGACTGTCCCTGCAACCCCCCAAAGTCTTCTCTCCTATGGGTCCCTTCACCCTCCACTAACCATACTCGGAAACCTTTCTTAATTTTACTTGAGTTAATTAAATTAGATACTGTAAATCATTTGACCTTCTGGATGTTTCCTCTGAGAAATCATATGGCACCCTCTTTTCCTAGCCCTCTTCCCTGTCACTCATATAGTGGTTGATTTGTACTTAGGGGGATTGTGAAAGATTGTGTCCTTCTCTAAGGCCTTACTGGACCAAATCCATCCATAGATACTTACTGAGTTTTTGTGAAACCTTTATTGTTAAAAAAAAAAAAAGTCAGAATAATAAAAAATTCTTTTTATTTTTCTGAAGTAAACCTTGGGCTTCTGTCTATTCTTTTGTTTTTGTCTTCCTGACAAATCATGTTCATTGGCCGGAAGGAATGACGGCACCCAAGTAGGAAAGGAAAGCAAGAGAAAGAGGACGAGTGTCATTCCTGTGACACTCGGCTGTCTGCTGGTGACACGTTCCTCATCGGGCAAAGACAAAGAAAAATATTAAAAACAAATGCAAACCTCCACGTACCAGGGAAATCACCACTTGAATGCATACCCAAGCCAGGCATTCTGTCAAGCACATTTATGTATTTTAATAACTTAAGGGTCCTTGAGAACAAAGGCTAACAGTTTTTAAGGACTCTTCGGAACCATGACCTATACTGAGATTTATACACATTGTCTACTCCAGTGACCCTCATTGACATGAAGGAACAGATTCAGAGACTTTAAGAAGCATGTCCAAGACCAGATTGCTGTTAACGTTGATCAGAGCAAGGCCCACATTCACAATCAGCCCCTAGGAGAATGTCTCTCCATGTGCCTCTGTTCCACATGAAACAGGTTTAGCAGGAATGCACGGCTCCCCAGTCAGAGACAGCCTGCTCCAGGCAAAATGTTACCTCCCGGCACATCACATAATTCAGAGAAAAATCCAAAATCTTTCTACCCAGACTTGATCTCTAATTGCCTTCTCAGCTGACTGCTGAGAAAGCAACAGACTTGAGATGTCAAGTCAGAAAGAGAAATGGAGAGGCCATCCTGAGCCCAGAAATTTCCCTCCTGGCTATCTCCTTAATCATTTTGCCTTTCTGAAGAGCTTCCAAATCTGAAGAGGCCAGCTGGTCTCTGCCAACCCTGGTGTTGATCAAGGAGGAAACACAAGTTTCCTTTTGGAAACTTCTTTGAGTTCCCTTTGGCTATGTGATGAGCAGTGTTGAGATTTAAACCTGGGTACAGTTGGGGCCTTATTTTCCTCCTTAATCATGGTCTTCGTGCCCCACAAGAATTAGCCTAGCATGTCCTCATGCCTGGAGGACTTTGGGAGATCGGGATATAGTCCTTTTCCCACACTCTTATCCCTCGGACCCACGTCTCTCAAGGTGCTGTTCCACCTGGAATAGATTTAACCTGACATTCTCTGTTCCATGATGTGGCTCCAGCTCACCAGCTCACTCTCTTGGGTGGGCAATGGCAAGACGGGTCATATCCCTCTACCTATTGTCACATCTTCACTTTTCTCTTGCTTATCACACTAAGTGTCAGGGTGCAGGCCAGTCCTCTCTGCTTGCCATCTCATTCATTCCCCTTCCTCCTGTCCAGCCACACTCTGGACCCATCAACAAAGGCACCCAGGTGATGCAATGCTTCTCCTGGAGATGATCTCTGGTGTGGTCGTTTTAGCATAAGAACCAGCTTTCTGCAGCAAAATAAATCCCATGCAACACGTTAAGTTGCATATACAAATTAAGGAAACCAGAGCAGTAAAAATTGCCCAAAACTGGAAAATAAATGAGTAACTTATTCATCAAATTAACTTCGGAACTTTGAGATTTAAATGAGAAATTCACATCTACTTCCCCAATTTTAGAAAGAGTATACACAACTTAGATGAACTGATTTTTTTTTATATATCAAAACAAATGAATAAGAAAATAATAAAGAAATATGCTACAGTTTGTATAAATGTCCCTGAAAGGCTCATGTGCAAAAGACTTGGTCCCCAACCCATGACACTATTGGGAAGTGGTGGAACCTTTAAGAAATGGGACCTTAGTGGGAAATCTCCAGGTTGTTGGAGGTGAGCCCTGGAAGGGGATAGTAGGGCTCTGTCTCCACAGCCTTTTTCTTTTTTCTTTCCAGTAATAAAAAAGCAATTTTTCCTTGCCACGGTCTCTTTGTCATGATGTGCTTTTCCACAGCATGATTTTTGCCCCCAAAGCAATAGGGCCAATCAATCACAAAATGAAACTTCTAAAACCATGAGATAAAAATAAACCTTTTCTCTTCATAAGTTGATTATCTCAGATGTTTATTACAGTGGCAGAAAGTGCATTCACACAACATCCAGGAGTATATTATATTAAATGCTATAATTTCATCTCTGAATGAAATTTAAAATTTCTATTTCCCATTATCCTTCCTTACTATTATTAGAATTGACAATAAATGTCCACCCAGAGGAGGTCTTGGTGGTATTGAATCCAACAGATCGGCAGGGGTGTTGGGGTTCAAGTGAAGAGTAAACTCCATGCCAATTGCTCCAGTAGGCAGGCAGGTCAGAGCTCCACACATCAGGACCGTCCAGTTTACCTCTTCTGCCTTCTTTTTTATTTTTATTATTTTTTATTTATATATGACAGTGGAATGCATTACAATTCTTATTACAAATATAGCACGATTTTTCATATCTCTGTTTGTATAAAAAGTATATTCACAACAATTCATGTCCTCATACATGTACTTTGGATAAGAATGTCCATCACATTCCACCATCATTTCTAACCCCCTACCCCCTCCCATCCTCTCCCACCCCTCTGCCCTATCTAGAGTTCATCTATGCCTCCCATGTTCCCCCTCCCTACCCCACTATGAATCAGCCTCTTTATACCAGAGAAAATATTCGGCATTTGGTTTTGGGGGGATTGTCCAATTTCACTTAGCATTATCTTCTCCAATTCCATCCATTTACCTGCAAATACCTTCTTGCTATTTATTTATTTTTTTTTGTAGATAGACTTCTTACAGATTTATTTCTGTTATAGATAGATATATGCATATATACTTTTTTAATACAATCTATATTCCCTTCCCCACCAAACTCCAAAAGGAGATATAAATCTTTCCAGGATTGCCATTGGGCTTCCCAAGATGGTCAGAGCCAAGAAAGAACCATTTCTCAACATCTCAACAGCTGTCCTTCTTAGGCTCTAGAATCATTGAAGCAGCAGCATTTCCAGGATCCAAGGGGAAGATGGGGGAAAGGAAACTGTAGTGTGCTGGGACTCTAGAATGAAAGTGTCCAGTCACTCCCAGAATGGCAGGGACTATATTCTTATGGTAAGAATTCTGGTAGGGCCCTCACTTTTCAGATGCTAGCCAATAGGCACGGGTAGGGAGTAGGAATCAGGTATTTGACATGCAGGGAAAGGGTGGTAGAAGGAACACCCGTGGCTTATGCTGGAGACTGAGCAACCTTCAGGACTACCCACCTACTCAATGACAGAAGTAATAAACAGGGACAGATGCTGAATTATTGAAGAAATAGAGAGGAGAGCATGACAGGGAGAAGGAACAATAGAACACATGGGAAATTCAAGTAGAGCAAAAAGTACCAATAAAAACATGACCTGTACTGGCCTCTTCCCTAGAAAAGATGTAATCTATGCTTTGGGGTGCAGGAGGTGAAAGGTCATGAACTAGGATTATCAGCTGGCCAGGGGCACAGGAAGGCTCTCTGAGTATTCCTAAGGGGCAGGTAGACAGGCAGCTGGGGCCCCATATCCCCAGGAAAGAAATAATGAATCCCTTCAGTTTGACTTGGACCAAATCTTGGCACTCCCTCGGAGCCCCTTCCCTTTTGAGGCCTTCTTGCTGGGCTGGCACTGGTTGGTGCCTGGAGCTGGGTCCCTCAGTTCAGTCAGGTGTTGCTTGGGGTCCTGAGATGTGGCTGCAGCAGCTGCTGCTGTTGTAACTTTAATGGTTTTTTTTAAGGTTGACAACCTCACTTTCAATCTGCTGCTTTAGGCCCAGCTGCTGCTCCTTGTGCTGGTTGGCATGGCTCACTTGCTCCTCCATACCTGACAGCACAACCTCACAGCCCACACACCACTCCTGCATGGTTCGGGCAATGGCACTAAGGTCTTGGAGCTGGATGTCCCGTCCAATGCTGTAGTCAACCTCTAGATGCTGATTGCGTTGATCCAGTGAGCCGCGAAGCACATCAGCATATACAGCCTCAATCACCAGGTCTTCTAGCTGCCACAAGGGCTTCTAGCAACACTGCATATGGGATGCACTTTAGCAGCCAGGGTGACAACTGAGAGGTGTTAAAGTTTATTCTTCTGAGCTTCAGTGAGTGGAGGAAGATTCCTGGCTTCAGCTAAGTAGTCGGCATATGTTCCATAAGCAAACACTGTGAGCAGCCGGAATGTGGAAGCAAAGTCACTTTCAACCAGCTCTCTAACACTGGGCATATCCAGCAGTTCCCCAAACACGTAGACACCAGGGGTCTCCAGCACCTAGTGGATGAGTGTGGCCAGCGCTGCCCCCTTGGCCGACTTGGCCAGGAGCAGAAATTGCTCCTGGTTCTGCCCTGTCACCTTCACCTCCGCCCTCATAGCTGTACTGAGCTGTGGGAACCTGGGCTCAGGTTGTCTGGAGCTGGAAGGTTCGTCCAGCTGTGGGGTCACCTCCGGCAGCTGTTCCGAGCTTTTCCTGCCACCCGCCCCTTCAGGGTCGCTCTAGCCCTTGCTATTTATTTCTTTATGTTGAAAGGGTAAAGTCTCTAAGCTACAAAGCCTGAGTTAAAATGTAAAGGACCAGGCATTGTTAAGTTTCTAAGCTACACTAAAAGCCTGAAATTCCTGTAGCTGTTAGGACAATTCCCGGGACTGCCCATTAGATAATCCCCCCTGACCACTTAGTTGTTTAACAGCTAAGACCCAGTGCAGTTCAGCACGTAGGCACCTCAGGGCCTAAACCAATCAGTTTGAATGTATCCCCCTCCTTAGGACTGACCTATCACTCCAGCCTGACCTGTTCCCGCCAATGAATGTACTAATCATGTTTGAGAATTGTTGTTTGATTTTCCTGCGCCTCATGATGATTTGCTCTGATGTATGCAAAGCCCCCGCCCTCCCCAAAAAGTGTACTTAAGTACTGCTCAACCCCTGCTCGGGGCTCTGGGCCGCTCTCCCTTCTTGAGTGAGCACGGAGCCCCAGCGCGCTGGATCCTCAATAAACCCCCTTTTGCTGTTGCATGAGTCGGTCTCTTGGTTGTCTCTTCCT